GAAATTTAATGGGCCGTATTCTTGAAATATTTGGGGACAAAGAGCTAAAAGGTCCCAGGTGCCATTTTCTATAAGCCATTCCAAAAAGAAACATTTGAAAAGACTGCTATACCACTGCTTACTTAAGAAAATAAAAAGTTGAGGTTTGAAAACGGTCAGTTTATGCTGCGGAGTTCTTTACAAAAGGCTTGGGCTGCACTTGCATAGAGGTATGTACGTTCTTATAGAAATTTGTAAGTGATAGGTCAGAAAATCCCCTTTCTTTTAGGTTTAGGCAGGAAGGAGTAAACATTGCTTCCGACTTTCCCAATAGTACTTGATTTGATGCTCTTTGCTTCCAGTAAACTTATTTGTGACAGTAAAAATACAAACTTAGCCGACTTTGTTGACATCTTGTTCATCTGTTGAATATCTTGTTTCTAAGATTATGAACGCTGCCCACTTCTTCACATTGCATTCAACAGCTGAGCACATCAGGAAGAGGAGCAGCTTTTCATCTTGGTTAGTTTTTAAAAAAATATATTTTATTGATTTTTTACAGAGAGGAAGGGAGAGGGAGAGGAATGGAGAGTTAGAAACATCGATTCAGCCACCTCCTGCACACTCCCTACTGGGGATGTTCCCGCAACCAAGGTACATGCCCTTGACTGGAATCGAACCTGGGACCCTTCAGTCTGCAGGCCGACACTCTATCTACGGAGCCAAACCGGTTAGGGCTCATCTTGGTTACTTTTTGCATTTTTTATGCATCTGATGAAAGCTATGTCCCAGGAAATGTCTCATCTGTAAACCAGAATTGGATGTGTAATTCCAAGGGGTTCCGAGACCCTCTGAGCCCATGAGGAGCCGAGGTTAAGAACGGCCTTATGCTGGGGGCTACGGGGAGGTCCTCACTCTTCGTGTGAAGTATCTGGTGGAGGCTGGAACTCCTTCTGTTCAAACTCTTCCCGTGTGTCCTTGTCTTGTGTATTCTAGAGCTTCCCTCCAGTTTTTACCTAATCCTAGGGTCTAAGGGAAGTCATTTTTCTGCGATATACATCTATAAATTATGATTTAGAAAAATGAAAGTTATTCTTTCATTTCTTCTCTATGGCAGTCCTATCATGGAGCACATTTGGCTCCCAGGCCTTTTCTGTGAGCTGTATTTGTGGTGAGAGAATCCCTCCTGGATAGCGATACGTATTTATTTAGTTTTGAAAAGGAAGGAAAGCTCTCTGTTCCTGTGTCCGTACGTGGCTAGGCAGCATAATCATTTCCCACAGGGCTGTGAGCACAGCCGAGGCCATTGGCATTTACCTTCCAGCACTCACATAGCACCATCCCAAAGTTCTGTTTAACTTGGATTCCTGTCGCTTGGGATGGCCAGTGGTAGGGTTTGCTTATATGTATCAGGTATCGCCAGATTAGAGTGAATGAATTAACACTAAATAGCAAATTCATAATTAGGACCAGTATGTCAATAGAGACTAATTACTCATTTAAATAAAAGTCTGTCATTGTTATATAATTGAACATACCTCTCTTTTTCTATCCTTTCCCCCTCAATGTAGCCAATTGCGCAGTTTGTCATTGCTAGGGGATTTTAAATAGGGCACCGCTGCATCTTAATTAGAAATGAGGTTACCCATTAGTCTCAGAATTAATTGGATTCTCTTTTAAGGTTTGTTGTATTTTGTGTTTGTCTTTTTATATATATATATATATAAATAAAAAACTAGAGGCCCAGTGCACGAATTTCATGCACTGTGGGTGTCGGGGGGGCGCGGGTGTGGAGGGGAGGTCCCTCAGCCCGGCCTGCATCCTCTCGCAGTCCGGGAGCCCTCGGGGGATGTCCATCAGTCGTACAGCCTTAGCGCTGCCGTGGAGGTGGTGGGAGCGCACTGACCACCCGGGGATAGCTCCTGCGTTGGGCGTCTGTCCCCCTGGTGGTCAGTGCGCATCATAGTGACCAGTCGTTCTGCCGTTCGGTTGATTTGCGTATTAGCCTTTTATTATATAGGATAAGCTGGAGGTGAGCATATGCATAACAAGAAAATTTTACTAATTGTTTCATTTTCCATTGGGTTTGCTAGGAAAATTTTAGCTGAAGCCTTCCTGAATAAGGGATGCAGTTGTGGCTGTGGAAAGAATCTGTGTGTGTGGAAAAGACTGTTGGCAGTTATCAGTCTAGGTCAGTGGTCAGCAAACTGCGTCTCGCGAGCCACATACGGCTCTTTGGCCCCTTGAGTGTGGCTCTTCACAAAATACCACATGCGGGTGCGCACGTACAGTGCGATTGAAACTTTGTGGCCCATGCGCAGAAGTCAGTATTTTGTGGAAGAACCACACTCAAGGGGCCAAAGAGCCACATGTGGCTCGCAAGCCGCAGTTTGCCGACCACTGGTCTAGGTGCATGTCCCTGTAATCTGTTTTAGGTGAATTCACTTGAGAATGCTTTGTGTGAAGAGCATTGTGCTACCTACCTTTTTACCTTATGCCAGTCATTTAAACATCTCAGGTTCCAGAGTTCTCATAAGTAAAATGAGGAAGCTGGACTAGAAGACTTTTAGGGCCCCTTCCAGTTCTAAGATCTAATTACTATATTACTAATAAGAGAAAATACTTTCTGGCTAGGGAAAAGAATTATTTTGTGACTAGAGAGTCTTTATAAATGCAGGTATGACTAGAGAGTCTTTATAAATGCAGGTAATTTGTGTGAATGGGTTAAATGTCTGACGACAGCTTTTCAAGTTGGGCTTAATCTAATTTAAGTTAGGCTGGTGGTGGTAACATAGAGAAATCTTTGGGCAACCTGCTTTGGATAATTCTGACTTAGAATATAAATTATGAGTTGGGGTAATTTTAAAGCAATATTTTTTAAAGTAGCTTGAGTAAAATTTACTAATCTTTTAAAAACGTGGTTTAAAGGTAAGCTTCAGCCTTCAAATACTAAAGATAATTGAAGGAGGAGTTAGGGTACTTGTGGATCAACTCGTATGAGAAAAGGGAGTAGTTTGAAGTTTTAGGGTTTTTTCTTCCCCTAAATGTAAATAAACCTGTTAATCTTAAAAAATAAAATTATATTTGTGATAGTCACGGCTGATACTGGAACTCCATCACAAGGTGATTCTCTTTTTTTAAAGTATGTTTTTGATTTTTTTTAGAGAGAGGAAGGGAGAGGGAGAGTCCGAGAAACATGAATTGGCTGTCTCCTGCACACCCCCTATTGGGGACCAAGCCTGCAACTTGGGCATGTGCCCTGGCTGGGAATTGAACCTACGACCTCTTGGTGCCAGGTTAATGCTCCAACCAACCGAGCCACACCCTCCAGGGCACAGGGTGATTCTCTTGTCTTGGCAAAGTGTTTATTATTTGGGGCCTCTGTGAACAAGTGTGTGTGTCCCAGTTAACACTGCTTTTTAATGAAAAGAGCACATGTTGCTCAAAGCACATCTGGTTTCCAGTTACTTTGTCTACAGATCATTTGAGTTATGGGTCTGTAGTGACACCTAGTGGGTGATAAGGATATGAGCATCTGTGATTGAAATGAATTTCACAGCCTAGGGCTTTCGGCATCATGCATTTGCCCTAATGTTCCTTTTCTGTTAATTTTCTTTGGGATGTGGTTGTTGTGGGGAAATTAAAAGGATTCCCATAGTTGTTGCCACATCATGGTGACATGAAAATGCCTGTTGCTCTCACTACCTGAATCAGAATTATTAAGGTTACAGCAGATCTTCAAGATACTTCATCCAACTCCCCCATGTTTAAGATGAGGAAGCAGACTGAGGCCAAGAGAAAAGTGACTGACATGGAGTCATGTAAGTAAGTGATGGAACCTAAACTCCAGCTCTGTTATCTGGTTCCCAAGCCTTTTTTTTTTTTTAATAAAATATATTTTATTGTTTTTTTACAGAGAGGGAAGGAGAGTTAGAAACATCAATGAGAGAGAAACATCGACTAGCTGCCTCCTGCACACCTCCCACTGGGGATGTGCCTGCAACCAAAGTACATGCTCTTGACTGGAATCGAACCTGGGACCCTTCAGTCCGCAGGCCAATGCTCTATCCACTGAGCCAAACTGGTTTGGCTGGTTCCCAGGCTTTTTGCTGTACTCTATACAGCCCTTAAGTTTGAGCTTTTTTATTTTTATTTTTTAATATAATTTTATTGATTTCAGAGAGAAAGGAAGAGGGAGAAAGAGATAGAAACATCCATGATGAGAGAGAATCATGGACCAGCTGCCTCCTGCAAGTCCCCCACTGGGGATCGAGCCCACAACCCGGGCATGTGCCCTTGACCAGAATCGAACCTGGGACCTTTCAGTTCTCAGGCCGACGCTCTATCCACTGAGCCAAACCGGCCAGGGCAAGTTTGAGCTTTTTTAGTTTGAGCCGTTGGCTTAAATAGATCAGGGGTGGGGAACCTTTTTTCTGCTGAGGGCCATTTGGATATTTATAACATCATTCGTGGGCCATATAAAATTATGAACTTAAAAATTAACCTGCTATATTTGGTCAAACATTTAATTAACTCGTCCCTAATCCCTTGGCAGGGCCAGACCTAATGATTTCACATGCCTTATATGGCCCAGAGGCCGGATGTTCCCCACCTCTGCCTTAGATGAAGGAGTATATAGTCAGTGTATTCTTAGAACCAGTAGAATTTCTCTCAATAATACAGGGCTGGGCCTCAAAGCAGAGCTGTTGACAAATCAATCAAATGCTTTTCCTGTTGGCGAACATCTGTGATGAAAGATGCAAGCAGGTGAGAACTGCCATGGGCGTCGGAGGAGGTGCTCGAGTTGAGGCGGGGCGGGGAGGGAAGATTGGACTAGGCTTTTAAGCACCTTTCTGAGACTCTGACTTAAAATTGTTTCCCCCTGATTACAGTTGTCAGACAATATTATAGTAGTTTCATGTGCTGTGACTTTTCTCTAGCGAGGTTGAAAGTATCCCTTTGTTTAGATTACCCTTTTTTCTAGTGTATAGCAGGAGAATTGGTATTAAAATAAACAATCATTTTAGGGTTTGTGGCACATAGTTTAATCCAGATTGGATACATCCGGTACAGCAGTGGCACGTGACTCAATACTGTAAATGATACACGTTGTAACATACGCACTACAGTTTCAAAAGAAGACGACAGGAAACTCAGTATTTTTTTCTCTTTTTTTCCATAGAAAGTTTTCACATGTTTATCTTCCTGCAGTTTTGTACAGTAGTTTTTCTTTGCCATTGTGATGTTGGTAAGCAAAGCCCATTTATTATACGAAAATAGAAAAGAACACACTTGATATTTTTCACGATAACATTAATGGGGGCGGGGGGAGTGACTGCTAAGGAAAACATTACATTGGAATGTCTGGTTATCAAAAATATACCATCCCTCCCACCTCCCAGGTTTGTAAAATAGTCTGTTGGTCCAAGGAGCCCCAGGACTTGAGTCAGTGCCCTGCCCTGGTTGGAGTGACATCATCCAGTGTAGTTAAGTAACCTGCTAAGACAAATGTCATCCCACACATGATGAGAAGAACATAGAACATTCTAAATAGAAAACAAGACTGAAAAGGAACCCCTTTAGCTGTTTCTTTTGCTGATAACCACTTTCTGTTCATTCGAATGATGCTTTTCATGATGCTGTTTGGGCTCCGAGGGTAACAATTTCTCCTTCATCCAGTCGTTTTAAAGCTTCGCCTTAGTAATCTAAGATCCCAGCACTGAGTTTTCTGCCTTGCAGTTAGTTACCTGGTAGTTGCAGTAAGGGTGTCTGGACCACTGGAATTCATTCATAACCCCAAGGTCTAAGTTTAGTTCAATTTCAGTGATTACCTGTGCAGGTTGTTTTTTTTAAAAAAGGAACAAAATCCAGGTACATGTTTTAATGGACACTTCCCCTGCTTGTATTCTAGTAAGTGACATGATCCTGAACTATGGGAATCCTAGTTTGAAAACTGGGTAAAGTCCTCAGCATGTCCACAAGTTGACTTTTTGTTAGTATAGATGAGCACAAACTGTCCACTTTACATTCTGTTCAGGTTCTTTTTCTTAATTTCACTTTCTACTTGCTGGTCTTATACTCCTGTGTGATTGTAGACAGTTGTGTTCAACTGTCATTGAGCATGTCTGGCCTTGTGAACAGGATTCTATGCAATTAGTCCTGAGCTCAACATTAGTTATGAAAATAGGGGGCGAAAGAGGACTCGTCCAGAGTTTGCTTTGGGGGGGAGGGGGGGGGTCCTGGCTCAGCGTGGTTCTGAATGGAATGTCTGCTCACGTTTAATCACCACCCTTGACATCCAGGTGCTAAAAATATAAGCAAGCCTCCAAGTAATGCAACGTGACGTGGAGGACAGAGCCCTGGCTTCAATCACAGTTGTGCTGTGTGAATGCGGAGGTCACTCAGCTTCTTCCTGCCCATCCAGGATTTAGTGCCTGACCTACTACACCAGAGGTCGCAGTTGGGACCAGAGGACCCCGCAGGTAGGCGTTGAAACGTCCACGCCCGCTCTGCACTGGGAAGAGAGCATTTGACAAACACCTGGCTGTTCACTTGTGCACCTGCTTCTCAGAGTCGACTGTCCAGGCCAGCTCTGCCCAGGGAGTGGTGGTGTCCAGGGGCTGGTTTGTGGTAGCAGAGTCCATGCAGTGCTGCCATCTGCATAAGATCAGGCCTGTAGTTACAGCATTATCCTCTGATGGCTCTTCTCTGAGGCATCACTGCTCTGCCAGGCAGTGGGGAAAAGCACTGGACGGACAGCCGAGGGACTTGTGCTCTGGTCCCAGCTCTGACATTAAATGACTGTATGACCTGGAGCAAGTCATTTAATTCCCCTGGAAAGCTTCAGCTTTCTCTAACCTATAGAAGAGTCTTTAGCCTCCTCTAGTTCTGATAGACTCTCAATACTTTATTTCCTAGGTTTCCATGCATCTGAATGTGGCCTATTCATTGGTTTCTTTTTAACCCTCTTGAATGCTGAGTGGTTCGGGGGACCTTCTACTATGCTGAAGTGGTTGATGAGCTATGAAAGCTCAAGGTCGTTGCACCAGAAAGCCATTGCGCGGAAGACCCTGGCATCTGGTTCTTCGGTCACAGGCCAGTGAGCGAGACCGACGAGGCCGCTCAGCACACTGGCCTCCTGTTTCCGTCCAGACGCAGCAGCGCGGTCTGGCTGGACTCAGTGTAAGAGTAGATGAGCCACTGTCCTCGGTTGGATGGCGTCTTCCTTTGGACCAGAGGCAAGTGGGTCTTCTCCTGGCTAAGGCCACCCTGCCGGGCAGGGGCAAAGGGAGAGTCTAACTTGCCATTTCTCCTAGGAACTGGCGGAGTGTGGGGCTTGGAAATGAAACTGGAGGAATACAAACATTGAGTTCATTAGGGTCAAAAAACGGGAAATTATCTGGGATATGATGATTAAAATTGGCTCGTTAATTTTGTGGGGACACTGTGTGCTCCCGATGCAGGATGGGACATCCTGGGTTGGGTGAGTCATTGCTCTGGCCCTGGGAGGACCTTTCTTACACACCGGCAGTGTGACTGTGTAAGCAACAGTGTTCTTATTTGCGTCTTGATCCCGTATCCCACTCAGTTCCCAGGATGTAAACTTGGATATCTAGACATTCCTAACTCTGTTCCATTGTCCATTCTTTCAAAAGAAAACTTCCTTTTCTGGTCCTCTGCCTGCTCTCTGAACGGAGTCCAGCCAGGTCCTCTGCCTGCCCTCGGGTGTGTGAAGTGATGGGGTTTGCGTACTTATTCGAAGGTGTGTTCCGGTTGGGTGTGTACACGAATTCCTGTTGTAAAGCTTTTCTGCCTACTTGCACCATAAGCTCAGAGGGCCAGGACCACCCATTCTCGTGTTAGGGGGAAATCCTTGGGGCCAGAGAAAGGCCTCAGTCCGTGGTCGATGAGGTTAGCAAAGGAGATAAAGGTGGAAGGCTCCCTCTCCTCTGCCCACCTTCCAGTTAGGGGCCACCTCCTAGCCCTGTCTTCCCTGCTGTACAGGGTCACTAGAGCAGGGTTCACAGGGAAGCCCACCCAAGGTGTTCTCAGGCTCCTGGCCGGTGAAACGCACCTACATGGCCGTGGCGGGCAGATTCCTGGCCTAGTTACACAGCTAATCACTCAGCTGGAGAATGGCCACGGAGCTCCTGAGAGCGGCTGTACCTCAGCGCGCAGGCTAGAGGGCTGCAGTAGGGCCGCTGGGGGTCGGGGTCTGCTGTAAGCAGTGGAAGTGGAGAGGACTGCAGAGCCACCAGAACAGAAGCGCCCAGGTTCCCAGGAATAATCTTCACCCCCTCACCTGCACGAGGGCACCATCTCGCCCCCACTCTGGGGGTCTCCAGGGACATTAGGCCTGAAGACTTCAGAACTCAGGACACCTTTCAGACCAGGTAAGGATCATCGAGAATCTCTTGCTTTTGCACGTTGGTGCAGCCTGTGGTCCTTGCACCGCCGCCCTCTGCAGGGAAGTGGCCTCTGGGCGTAGCTGTGGGTGGGCTTGATGGTGGGAGCCATGGGCGGCGGCGAGCCCTGGCTCTTCTGTCCTCTCCACTGGCATGCACCATGCGCCGGTTGATTCCGTTTTCGATATCCCAGTGTGATAGATCCGGTCATTCTCCTTCTAAGCCAGACATGGAAACGAACACCCGGGGTTCCACCTCCAGGGGAGCACTGGGTTCTTGCAGGGCGCTTCCCTCCTCCCTCTTCCCCAGCTGCATCCACATGCACCACTTCCAGGCACTCAGCTGCAGGTGCCTGCGTGGGGAAGCTTCCCTGGCATGTCTCGGGGCCACCAGGGTACATGTAGACACAGACGCTGGACAACGGACAAACAGCCAGGGGTGAAGCAGAGAGAGACGGAGACAAAGGGGACGGACAGACAGGGGACATGTTGCTGTGTGGTCATGGCAGCTCTGCAGGTTGGCAGGGCAATGGGGGCTCTGCTGACCTCACCCACCTGGGGGGATGGAGAGATAACTCAGCAGTAACTGGCTGCTTAGCCTAAAAGCTTTTGCTATAAAAGGAGGAAAAAACACACACACACAAAACCAAACCTCACAAAATGCGTTGTTTTGGTTCAAAGGTACTGGGTCCATGGAGAAAAACGGTGCACAAAAATCCGTTGGTGTTTTTGTTTTCCACCTTTTCCCCTGAATAAATATTATCCATTAAGAGCCTTGAAAAGGTGCTTAGATACACAGTGTTATATTTTCTTCCTGTTTTGCATGTGTCAATTGGGCCTCTGTGCTGCTCTCGGTCTCCTGTTTTCCTCACTGGGGTCTCCAGAAGCAATTGCTATTTGGTCTGAGGCTCCCCCTCCAGTCCCTGTCCTGGCATGCAGCAGCCTCTGCCCCCACATCCCATCCCCTACCCTCCTCCCTTCCTCTGGCCCCTGGGAGGCAGGACCACAGGGCTGTGTCCACACCTGTGAACCTTGGGGCCCCTCTGCTGCTCTTGTTCCTCCCCGGCATGAGTTTCAGTGCTGGGGAGGGGGCAGTGGGGCAGGGAGAAGGGGACGGGGTGGTCCAGTGGCCATCCACCAACATGCCAGCCGCCTCACTCCCACTGCCCACATGGCCCTGTGTCCAGTGGTTTTACAAGGCGGAGACCTTGACGATGTTGCTGGCTATGGCAGGAATGTTCGTGTTGGGGCCTGGGCTGGCAGGGGGTGGCCGGCTCTCCCCCTCGGGGGTTAGCGCTGGGGGTGTGGGGATGCTGATGATGGCTGTGGTTATCTGGGATGTTTTGCAGTTTGGTCTCAGTCCGTCGTCTGCTTTCAGATTAAGGCTGGAGCGACTGGGATAAAAATAAAAGAGTGAGTTGAGGATGGTGGCTCTTGCTAGTGTCCCAAAGCTTCCTTGCCCCCCCCACCCCCCCACCCCCCCAACCTCTCTAGCTCATGGAAACTAGGAGCTTCCTTGCCCCCCCCCCCCCCCCCCCCCCCCAACCTCTCTAGCTCATGGAAACTAGGAGGAGCCTTCAGCCTGCCTCCGTCTCTGCTTTGGACATCAGCCCTAATTACTCATTCTCATTGTTAGGCCTCAACTACCAACAACTGCGAAGTCCTGGATATTAGGCTTTGGACTCAAAGGACATGTCTTCCCTCTGGTGGGTGGTTTGCCTATCGTTCGTGGCATTCGACTACTGCTTTCCCGGAATTCCTTGCAGTTCACTGGAGGGGGACAGATATATGCAGAGAAAGGAGGGAAAGGCAGTCTGAGATTCAAAACCAGCCTGGGATAAGCTGTGTTGGACATAATTGTGAGCATTATTTTCTTGGTCCATTCTTTGCACTGGGATAGGTCATTTGTGGATTTTGGGGGGAGTTTTTTTTCTGGTATCTAACCACACATTGGGCCTAAGTCTGCTACAGTATCCCCCAAAGAGCCTTTGGGTTAACTTGTCAGGACAACAAGAAGGGGGAGGGGCATCAGATGAGGGGGCAGAGGGCTAGGGGTGCTCCTGAGGCTGAAGGCCCACCTGGTGGTGAGGGAGGGCTGCTCACTGCCCTGGATGTGGATGGTGCTGAGCTCTTGCATGCTGCGCAGGCGGGTGGCCGGCAGGTTGGAGTTGGGCAGGTGTGTGGTCTTCTTACTGCGACGGGAGCAGCAGGTGGTCGTGAGGCCCTGGTGGCTGGACAGCGAGGGGCTTCTCGTGGACGGGTAGTTCTGCATCGAGCTCTCCAGGCAGTTCTGCTCATACATCTGCTCGTCTATGAACTCGTGGTTCTGTGGGAAGCAGGAGGAGGAGGGAGATGAGCCCCCAGACTTGGGATGGCTGCCTGTCTCTGTTCCGGGCCTGGAGAGAAGGCCTCCCAGCGGCCTGGGGCACAGACAGGCATCAAAGGAAGAGGACAGTTCTATGGGCAGCCCTGGCGTCAGGTTGAAGGGTGGGGACTGTAGTTAAGTCATGGTGAGGTGTACTCGGCGCTGATGGGTGCAGGGCACGGGGGGCTTTAGTGGCATCGTCAGAGCTGGAAGCAGAGATGGGACTTACTCTACCGGCTCCACACAGGACTCCGGGCCTCAGGGA